TTTTTTTGTCAAAATGTGGATCATAGAATAAGTAAATGCGCTTCTCTGCACCATCCTTGAATTCTAGATATGCACATGAATTCAATTTGGGTGTGTGTAGATAGGCGTGATGCGTTATGCTTAAGTTCTGTTTGATTTTGGAAAATGCTTGCTTGGATATAAGATATTTTGACTTATATTTGATTTTGTTCGATTGATTTGGTGCAACAGTAAGTGAGATGATGAGATGATGTGAAGTAATGACTAGTTACAATTATGTGAGCGGATGAATGGTGAATTAAAGTTATGTAATGTGTAAGAGCGAATGAGTGATATTATTCAATAAGAATTAAAGTTATGTAATGTGTAAGAACGACTGAGTGATATTATTCAATCATATTGAGGATAGTGCAATTGGGTTAGATTTAAATTAAAAAAATGATTGGTTGTAAATTATTGATTTTTTTTTTTAAACAAAAATTGGTATCTAAGCATGCACCAAGGTCTTGGATTTTCCTAAGGGTATTATTCTCTCAAACTTTCATCCAATAAATTGTTGCAATTGTATGGTATAATTCATTTTTTTAAAATAAATATTGTATTGAAGCAACTAAAAACATAATACATCCCTAATGAATGAGGAGAATATAATAGGCAGGGAATCCTTCCAGAAACAAGAAGATAGAGACATTGTCGCCCAATTCGCCATTTTATGGGCAACTAAATTCTTCCTTCGGGAAATGTGTCCACACGTACTGCACGTCATGTAGACAAGAGCTCCTTTATATCAAAAAATACTTCAAAGAGAGGATCACAATCTTCCATCTGAATGAGCCCTCCAACGACATTTAAGGAATCTGTTAAAACTGCCTGAAGTTTGAATTCAGAATCACGGGCACATCGTAAACCTTATTGAATAGCCAAAGTTTCTGCTAGTAGAGGAGAAAATGAGCCCTTGAGACACGTAGTAAAAACGGCCTGACAAATGCAATCTTAATTCTGAATCCAACCCCCAAGACCAATATGTGTATCTCAGACTGCTGCATCAAACAAAAGAGTCCACCCGTTCTTGCATGTTCCCCTTCTTCCCCAACAATAAAGCAAGTCGCGACATGGTTTCAGCCTATTATCAAGCATGCCTGATTGAGCATAGTCAAATTCTTTCAACCACGATAGCCCTAATTCCCAAACTTCTACCGGATTCTTTTCTTGTAATTTCTGATGAAGACGCTTGCGTTCGTGTCAGACAAGCCACATTCCAATAGAAAATTTCCTGAAGTCCATATCTCGGCCTTCAGAAAGAATATCTAAGACTAAAGAAATGAAATCCCTTCTTTGGAGATGGGAGATAACTCCCCACCATGAGGCATACTTCCACAATTTCTTAGCCGAGGCACAATAAATAAATAGATGATAATTTGTTTCTCTAGAACCACAACACAAGCACCTATTATCCAGAACAATGTGTCGTCGAGCTAATTTTTCACAAGATGGAAAAGCTAAGAGGGATATATTCCAGAGAAAAATTAAATTTTTCTCTGGTCCGCAAATTCATATTGGAACCCGAAACAAACTCATTATATAAGTTGGGATCGCTTGAGTTACTGCCTTAATTAAAGTTTCACATCCGTCAACAGAGAATAGATTACAATTCCAGCCTTGCAATCTTTTCCAAACTTTATATTGAATAGTCGTAAAGGTGCGTGCGTAGCTTATCGCGCCCCACCATTGAAGGGAGGCCTAGGTAGGTGTTATGCCAGGAAAAATCGAGAATGCCGAACAGTGGCCACAGGTCATTTCATGTTGAAGCAGGAGTATTTGGAGAAAAAGTAATAACATTTTTTTCGATGTTAATTTTTTATCCAGCGGCGAGCTCGTACCTTCGAAAAATATTCTTTATGGCCGACGCTTCAGGCACTTGGGCTTTCGAAAAAGATAATCGAATCGTCAGCAAAAAGAAGATGGGATATCCTACGCCCGAGCCGACTGCAACACATCCCCATTAACTCCCCGGTTGTCTCAGCACGCCTAGGAGTTGCTGAAAAACCCTCAGCACACAAAATAAATAGGTAAGGGGACAAAAAACATCCTTGTCTTAACCCTGGAACACCCAGAATATTATTTACTAATTATGCAGCTCGGTTTTATTTCCTTAAATAGCCAGTTGCCTAATTTGATGCATTTATTATTATTATATGCATTAAATCATATAATTAGCTTGAAGTCTAAGCCATTGATAATATGTTCGACTTTTAATAATTAAAATCAGATTTATTTAGCCCAAGTATAGGTTTTATTTTTAAAACCGAGCCTTGGATAAATCAGAAGTTTTATTTCGACGGATCCAAGCCCGAAAAATTAATTTATTCGAGCCTAATCATTTTCGAGCGAGTCCAATTATCTTAGCTGTCCCATTTAAGTTAACCGAGCCTATGTTCGATTTTACTTCGGCCCATTTCATTTTAGTAAATCGATCCCATGTTAGATTTAATTTTAGTCCATTTTAAAAATCGATATAGTCGATTTATAAAACCCAGCCCATTACTATTATTTAATTCGGCCAACTAATTTATTATTCTGAATTCGATTAATTTTAGTCGAGCATTTAATTTCCTAAGTCAATGTTCGATATTTACTAGCCCAATTATTAAACTCGAGTGTTAGTAACAATAAAAGCCCAAAGTTAGGCTTAAAATGCTACACAAACCCTAGGTTCCCTCTCTCCTATATATACACTTCATCTCCCAACACAACAACACAAAACCCTAGCACACAATCACCATTCATCATCATCTCCACTCCATTTTAAAGATCCATAGCCAAAAATTATCTTCATTGACCTTCATCCATAAAAATCTGGGGGCCCTTCTCGTTTTCCGGCCAGTCACCATCGTCGGCGAGCCC